GAACCCCAAGAACACAGTTTTACAAACGATTTACACTGCTACATCCAATACCAAAAACAAACCGTAACAAGAAAAAAAGAAAAAAAAAAAGTAGACTAAGAATCGATAGAACTACCTCTGAATCAAACAGATCTCGAAGTGACAACGAAAACGCGAAGAACAAGATAATAGCAGGGAAAAACTAAAGAAAAAAAATTACAAAAATCAAAAGTTTACATTGGCAGAGAGAAAAAAACATTGTCGAAGTACAAAGATCGTGTCCTAACCTTGGGAAACTGTGAATTTTCGAATTAGGGCTTTTGAATTCGAAGCGAAATGAGCGGAGTGAGAAATTGGGGAGACAGACTCACCCCGTGTGTATTATACTGGAGGAGAGAGAAAACGTTAAAAACCAATTATTATGCGACACGTGTTACATGGTTGACCGTCCTAATGACTTATGTTTTCTCTCTTTGTAATGTTCGGTAATTTTTAATTTGTGTGGGTGAAATATAAAGGAAACATAAGCTAGGAGGTCAGGTGTATAATATAGCTGTTTTAAAAGGGGTACAATGCTCAAAAAAAGGGAAAGTTTCCTAAGGGGATTGACAGATTTACCCTTTCCCCTGAACCCATTTGAGACCTCTTGATCGATTTGATCGGAGAAGGCCGGAGAAAAGCTCGAAGGTCCGTCAATGGGGAGCTATGTGGAGAAAGCTCGTGAGAATCACGTCAAGAAGAAGGTCGAAGAAGGTAATTCAACAATGTCGCATCTTCTTCATCTCGTTATGTTCTAAACCCTAAACCCCCAAAATGGTTGTCTTTGATTGCCTCGAAAATGGTCTATGATCGATACTCTTTAAGCCTGGTTTATTGTCAGAGACGAAGTTTCTTCTCTACCTCTTAGTTTGAATTGAGCTCACTTGGTGTAGAAGGATTAGGTCCACTTTTTAACTTATCCCCCTTTATGCATCTGAGCTGGTTTGATCTAGCTGCTCTCATAGACGTGTGTTGTATTGCTTCCTATGTTTAGTGGTGATACAAGGTTTCTTGATTGATTATGTACTACTTTGTTAATAGCGCTGCGTAGCAAGATGAAGGCAAAGGCATTGATGGAATGTGATCAGTTCGTCTCAAAGTATGCTCAGTGCGCAACAGGAAGAACGTTTTCTGTGGTATGGACATGTCGTAAGCAAGCTAAAGAGCTCAACACTTGCCTCCATCAATTGTATGTTCTCACATCTTAATGCTCCTCCTCCTAT